GACGGCGGTGACGCTGCACGAGGCGGTTTGGGGACAGTTTGGGGACACTCTGCGCCTGGCTGTGCCCTCCCTCATCTACACCCTGCAGAACAACCTGCAGTACGTGGCCATCTCCAACCTGCCCGCGGCCACCTTCCAGGTGAGACTGGGGACACGGGGACAGCAGGGACAGGGTGGCACTTCAGGACATTGGAGATCTTGGGGACAACGTCTCTGTCTCCATTCCCGTGTTTCTCTCTCAGTGTCCCTGTCCCTGTGTCCCTGTCCCTGTGCCCCTGTCCCTGTGTCCCTGTGTCCCTGTCCCTAATCCTGTTTCTCTGTCTCTCTGTTCCCAGCTGAAGATCCTGACCATGGCCCTGTTCTCCCTTGTGCTCTTGGGCACATCCCTGTCCCTGTGTCCCTGTGTCCCTGTCCCTGTGTCCCTGTGTCCCTGTGTCCCTGTGCCCCTGTCCCTGTGTCCCTGTGTCCCTGTCCCCATTTCTGTCCCCAGGTCACATACCAGCTGAAGATCCTGACCACAGCCCTGTTCTCTGTGCTGCTCCTGGGCACGTCCCTGTCCCTGTGTCCCTGTCCCTGTGTCCCTGTCCCTGTCCCCGTCCCTGTGTCCCCATCCCTAACTGTGTCCCCTCTCTCTCTGTGTCCCCAGGTCACATACCAGCTGAAGATCCTGACCACAGCCCTGTTCTCAGTGCTGCTCCTGGGCACGTCCCTGTCCCCATGTCCCTGTGTCCCTGTCCCTGTGTCCCTGTGTCCCTGTCCCTGTCCCTGTGTCCCTGTCCCTGTGTCCCTGTGCCCCTGTCCCCGTCCCCATGTCCCTGGCCCTAACGCTGTCCCCATTTCTGTCCCCAGGTCACATACCAGCTGAAGATCCTGACCACAGCCCTGTTCTCAGTGCTGCTCCTGGGCACGTCCCTGTCCCGGTTGCAGTGGTTGTCCCTGGCCCTGCTCTTCGCGGGGGTGGCCCTGGTCCAGGCCGAGGGGGCTCGTGGGGCGGGGGGCGCCGGGGGGGCGGCCCTGGCTCCCTCGGTGCCCCCCGAGGGTCCCCCCCAGAGCTACGCCGTGGGCCTGGCGGCCGTGGCCGCCTCCTGCCTGTCCTCGGGCTTCGCCGGCGTCTACTTCGAGCGGCTGCTGAAGCGCTCGGGCGGCTCCATCTGGGTGCGCAACGTGCAGCTGGGCGCCGTGGGCACGGCCGTGGGGCTGGGGGCCATGCTGGCCGCCGAGGGCTCCTCCGTGGCCGCCCTGGGCTTCTTCTACGGCTACAACGGCGCCGTGTGGGCCGTGGTGGTGAACCAGGCGGCCGGGGGGCTGCTGGTGGCCGTGGTGGTCCGCTACGCCGACAACATCCTCAAGGGCTTCGCCACCGCCCTGTCCATCGTGGCCTCCACGGCCGCCTCGGCCCAGCTCTTCGGCTTCCGCCCCCGCGGGCCCTTCCTGGCCGGCACCGCCATGGTGCTGGTGGCCGTCTGCCTCTATGGGCGGCCCCGCGGCCACGACAGCAGGGGACACGCCGGGGACAAGTCAGTGGCGGCCTAGGGACGGGACAAGGGGGGGGAGACGGGACGGGAGCCCCGGGGGGGGGGCCCAGTGGGGGCTTCCTCGGGTGGTGGGGGCTCCTCAGGGCTCGTTAGGGGCTGGTGAAGGACCTGGTGGGGCTCGTTAAGGCTCGTTAGGGCTGGTGAAGGATCTGGTGGGGCTGGTGGGGCTCGTTAGGTCGTGGGGGCTCATTAAGGCTCGTTAGGGCTCATGAAGGACCTGGTGGGGCTCGTTAGGGCTGGTGAAGGACCTGGTGGGGCTCATTAGGTCGTGGGGGCTCGTTAGGGCTCATTAGAGCTGGTGAAGGACCTGGTGGGGCTCGTTAGGTTGTGGGGGCTCATTAAGTCTCGTTAGGGCTGGTGAAGAACCTGGTGGGGCTCCCGAAGTGATGGGGCCTCGTTAAGGCTCATTAGGGCTGGTGAAGGACTCAGTGGGGCTCATTAGGTCGTGGGGTCTCATTAGGGCTCATTAGAGCTGGTGAAGGACCTGGTGGGGCTCATTAGGTGGTGGGGGCTCATTAGGGGCTGGTGAAGGACCTGGTGGGGCTCATTAAGTGATGGGGGCTCATTAAGGCTCGTTAGGGATGGTGAAGGACCTGGTGGGGCTCGTTAGGTGGTGGGGGCTCACTGGGGCTCGTCAGGAGGTGCTGGGGGTCACTGGGGGTCACTGGGGTCCAGGTTTGGGGGTCATCAAGGCTGAGGGGACTCATTAAGGCTCGTTAGGAGCTGGAGGAGCTGGGGGGAGTCATTAGGTCACGGGGAGCCGGGTTTTGGGGGTCCTCAGGTGGTGGGGACTAATTAGGGGGTGACAGAGGAGCTGTTTGGCCTCATTAAATGGTCAGGACTCATTAAGGCTCATTAGGAGATGGAGACCTTGGTCTGGGGGGTCATCAGGCGGTGGGGGCTCATTAAGGCTCATTAGGAGGTGGTGGGGGCTCATTAAGGCTCATTAAGAGGTGGTGGGGCTCATTAGGACCTGGTGTGCTCGTTAAGGCTCATTGGGTGATGAGGAAGCTGATGGGGGATGGGGGCCCAGGTTTTGGGGTCAGGGGACTCATTAAGGGACTCATTAAGGCTCATTAGGACCTGGTGGGCTCATTAAGGCTCATGGGGTGATGGGGGCCCAGGTTTTGGGGTCATCAGGCTGTGGGGACTCATTAAGGCTCATCAGGAGCTGGTGGGGCTCATTAGGAGCTGGTGGGACTCATTAAGGCTCATTAGAAGGTGGTGGGGACTCATTAAGGCTCATTAAGAGGTGGAGGAGCTGAGGACCCCAATTTGGGGGTTCATTGGGTGCTCGGGACTCATTAGGGCTCGTTAGGAGGTGATGGAGGAGCTGTTTGGGCTCATTAGCGGTGGGGGCTCATTAAGGCTCGTTAGGAGGCGGTGGAGGAGCTCTGGGCTCATTAAGCTGTGGGGACTCATTAAGGCTCATTAGCTGGTGATGAAGGACCTGATGGGGCTCGTTAGGTCCTGGAGACCCTGATTTCGGGGTTCTTGTGTGACGGGGCTCGTTAATTAAGGCTCATTAAGGCTGATGAGGTGATGAGAAGGTGGAGACTCGTTAAGGGTCAATAATTAGTGGGACCCAGATCTTGGGGGATCATCAGGCTGTGGGGGCTCATTAAGGATTGTTAATTGGTGGGACCCAGGTTTGGGGTTCGTTAGGCTGTGGGGGCTCGTTAAGGGTCATTAATTAGTGGGACTCAGCTTTTGGGGCTCATTAGTTTGTTGGGGGCTCATTAGTTTGTTGGGGGCTCATTAGGGGTTATTAATTAGTGGGACTCAGGTTTTGGGGTTCGTTAGGCCATGGGGGGCTCATTAAGAGTCGTTGGGTGATGGGGAACCCTGGGGTGGAGTTTAATGAGCTTAATGAGGTCACTGAGGTTAATGAGGTTAATGGGGCCCATGGGGTTAACGAGGTCAATGGTTAATGAGCTTAATAACCTTAATGAGGTCAATGGGTTAATGATTTTAATGAAGTCAGGGGGGTTAATGGGGTTAATGAGGTTCATGGCACTAACAGGGTCAATGGGTTGATGAGGTCAGTGGGGTTAATGAGGTTAATGAGTTGATGTTAATGAGGTCAGTGGGTTAATGAGGTTCACAAGGTTAGTGGCTTAATGAGGTCAATGGGTTGGGGTTAATGAGCTTAACGAAGTCAACGGGATAATGAGGTTGATGAGCTTAACGAGGTCAATGGGATAATGAGGTTAATGAGTTACTGAGGTTAATGAGGTCAATGGGTCAGGTTAATGAGTTGGGCTTGGGGTTAATGAGGTGAATGAGGTTAATGAGGTTAACGAGGTTAATGAGGTTAACGAAGTTAATGAGTTGGGCTTGGGGTTAATGAGGTGAACGAGGTTAATGAGTTGGGCTTGGGGTTAATGAGGTGAATGAGGTTAACGAGGTTAATGAGATTAACGAAGTTAATGAGTTGGGCTTGGGGTTAATGAGGTTAACGAGGTCAGTGAGTTTAATGAAGGAGCTCCCTGGGGGTCCCGGACCCTTCCTGGGGCATCCCCTCCCCCTCCTCCCCTCCCCTCCCCCCCCGGCCCCTCCCCCCCCCCCGCGGGGGGCGGGGCCGATGTACAGATTTTATAGGGGGGGAGGGGCCGGCGCGTTTTTAATTAACGGCGATTTCGGGGCTAATAAAGGAGGATTTGGTTAACGGCGCCTTCGGGGGGGAGGGGCACTAACACACTAACACCCTGGGACACCTATGGGGGAAGGGGCCATATGGAACCCACAGGGACCCCCCAGGGCCGTATAGAATCCATAGGGACCCCCCAGGGCCATAGAAACACCTCCAGGGCCCTATGGAACCCACAGGGACCCCCCAGGGCTGTATAGAATCCATAGGGATCCCCAGGGCCATAGAAACACCTCCAGGGCTGTAAAGAATCCATAGGGACCCCCCAGGGCCTTATGGAACCCATTGGGACCCTCTAGGGCCATATAGAATCCATAGGGACCCCCCAGGGCCATAGAAACACCTCCAGGGCCTTATGGAACCCATAGGGACCCCCCAGGGCTGTATAGAATCCATAGGGACCCCCCAGGGCCATAGAAACACTCCCGGGGGCATATGGAACCCACAGGGACCCCCCAGGGCCGTATAGAATCCATAGGGA